AGCGCCAGTTCACAACAAGAATCTTCTCTAGGCACTTTGTAAAGGAAATATTCCAGTTGAGCCTACTCATCAGTGCATTGAGTTCAGTTCATTAGACCATTTAATTAAAAGTTTCCTATGTGAGGAAACCCCAGCAGATTGCATCGAGTCACTGACTTGTGCCAGAGATTTTACAGCAATCCCCGGACTACATACAGGTTTCCTTGGATCATCTGAACTCAGCCCATTGTCTCCTTTTGCCTTTATTTAAGGGAAGGAATGGGAATGAGGGTTATGTGAGGTCATTTTAATCTGCATGGCACTTTTGGTTGCATCGATTGTATGAAAAGCGCTTTATAAATAAAGTTTGATTTGATACTTAGCAAGCATGTAGCAACAGTGGAGAGGAAAACTCCCGTTAAACAGGGAGAAACTTCCAACAGAGCCTGGATCAGTATAAGCAGCTGTCTGTTCGTTTCAGGAGCGTACACCGTGTGCTTTGTCTCTCATAGCATTCAGCTCCATTTTAAACTGTATGACTTTTTCGCAGGTCAAGAGACATGTTCTCACACCGTACGACCCAGCGCTTGTATGTGACCTGGTGCTCACACTGTAGCAACACGTTGTTGAGAGTAGTGTTGAAGAAAGTAGCAGAGTGTGGAAACGTATAAATTTTTAAACTCTAGTGAGAAGGGCATTGTTACTTATGCGTTCTAGGAAAACTATTTCTATCTTTAGTCTTGTAACCTGTGTTTTTCTGCTGTCTTGGCGGGATCATGTTTGTAAAAATTAAATCCTATCTGTCTGAACAGGGGAAAAAAATCATTAAACTTGGATTGTTATAGGTGTAATACGTACTTTATCTATCCAGTATCATATTTAGCTTTGAACACTTACCTTAAAAGGCTGAAGGAGTAGCGTGCAGTGACAGCTCCCAGACATGCTGAAAAACACCTGACAGTCAGGTTTCTCAGACCACACAGAAATCCTCTCTGTGGGCTTTTATTTTCCTTATTTTTTGCCAAAAATGCAAGAATTTCCCCCTCTTCTTCTATTATTGTTTCAGATGAAACAGTATGCTATCTGCCTGATAAATATACACAAATGGTTTCACACCACAAAGAAACTTTACCCGATAATTTAATGCCTTCTGCTCCCATTCAAACATTCAAAAGCATCATTGTATCTGACATATGGCACTACAAAGATGGAGGTACTCAACTTTGGTTACCATTAATTAGTTAATTGCTGATTACCAATGATTATGCCTATAATTTATTAGAGTAATTCTTCTCTGATGTTCTGGTCCTGGTTTATACACGTCTGAGCCACCAGCTGTCATGGAACAATTTTTCTCTTCTTGCGTCCCAAATTAATAGTCACTCACTGACTCTGAAGTGCCTGACGCTATTGTAATACAAGCCATGTGGCACTCGGCCAGGGCTGCAATACAAGACACAATTGTTTAGTGTTTTCTTTTTTTCGTCTTTCTCCCCTTTTAATGCACACTAATAAGTAAGTAAATGGTGAAAAGATGTGTGTCTGAAATCGCAGCGGCCTTTGTTGTAGATAATTAGGTTAGCAGCGAGAGCGTGCAGGTGCTGAGGGTGTGCTGTGCGCTTGTGGTGTGTTATCGACTTGCTCATAGGCTGTCAGGGGTGTCGCACTTCCCATCAGCCCCAAAGCTCAGCAACCTCTTCACTATTAAAATGATCACTTTCAATAGCAGACAAAGGAAAGAGGGAACATATCTAGTGCAGGGTATTTTCCCCACCTCTAATGCTTATCTGCCTTTTGATGTCGTCGTAATAAAAGGCCTATTGGGCTTCCACAATGACCTGCAAAATGGACAAGGGCCGATATACCAGGCTCTGACTGTCGCTAGCATTAACTAAAAGGCCTAGACATTATGGAGAGCCGGGGATGAAAGTACATGGAGAAAAAAAATAATTGAAAAATTGCCTAATGCTAAAGTGAAAGAAAATGGAGCTGTGAAAAGGCACTGTAATATTCTGTTATCCCCCGTAAATGCAGCCAAACAAGAGATGCGGCGTGGCATTCTTTTTGAAATGGATGTGGTTCAATTACCTGCATGTCTAAATCTAGTTAAGGCTTCCATTGTCAGCCTTGAAACATAACAGGCAGTTTTGATGTAGTGTTAAAGTGTATTATGCCCTACAACCTACATAAAATCACAGAAGGGATGACTCCATTCAAGACGTGGAGGGGAATTAAAGCTCACACTGAGGACAGGGTTAATTTAATATTTATTCTGTTGGAGACTTCTGTTTGGATCCCTGTTTTAACACAGATGCTCTGCATTTTAGCACGAGGATGAAAAAGGGTGGCTGTTAAATAGCTCTTCAGTTCATGTTTGATTTTTAATAGAGAAATGTTTGAGAGAGATGAAAAACAATTTGATGTTTCCAGATTTTTTTTGTATTAGTTAAAAAGTAGAAAACTGGGAAGTATTTTGCAAATTGTTGTTGGTTTACGGATGTTAAAATCGTGCAACTACATTATTCAGTTAAGAAAAGTTTAAATGTTAAGCACTAGTCACCTATAATATGTGATTTCTCTGGGTATCGTTTGTGTTTGGGCTTACATGGACAGCAGCGCTCCTGGTGCATCTAGGAGATGCTATACTAGATCAGAATGAGATCATTTTCAAGTTCATATTGAGGAGAGCATCTTTCTGCTGTAAAAGCTGCTCTCGTGTGAGGTTTTATCCTTTAATATCAGCTGCATCAGGTCTTAAAGCTTTAAAGTTTGTATCTTAGTTTAACTGTTGTGACTAATCTATGATAGCAGATTCCATTAAAGAACAAGTTAACTGGGAAACAGTTTTTTATTTGTCATCTCTGAAATATGATCAGGCACTCTGAGTTTAACATGCAGGTCTACACTACACTGTAAATTTGCATTCATGGACTCGTTCATCTTGGCTCGCGGCGGGAAAGATTGTTGTTGGTTTAGCATCCGGGAAATTAGCAGAGCATGTCTCGGCTAGTAGAAGCTAGCTATCAACATTAGCAACTCCCCCACACAGCAGAGCTCCTTCAGGCTTGTGTTATTTGTGGAGATAAAACATCCATGTTGCAAAGTAAACAGAGTCATGTTGCTGTTAGCCAATCAGAGGAGGAATATGTTTCCAAATCCTGCCATCTTCTGCTCACCTCTTCTGTGGCTAATTTTTACTTCCTGAAACAGGAGCACCAGAGCTTTTTTTTTCCACATAGATCAACTCACAAGGCGTTCATCTAGACCACTGCAAATGTTAAGAAAAATCAAGTGAACTTGTTCTTTAAATGCTGATTCGCAAATCAAACCGATGAACTTGTAGAAGGTGCTAATAATTGAATGTATTCCACTGAATGGACAAAATCAAATATTTGTTAATGTTGATTTCTAAAATAAAATGGCAGAAGTTAGTAATTTTCCTATGATTTTATAGTTAAGCTGTGGTTTAACTTCGTTTGACCCAAAGCTGGGATCAGGAGCCCAAGATGGGTCATCATGATACACTAAGTTTGAGGTCTTGAGACTCAAGTACAACTGAAAAATTATTTCTCAAAGATTATTTCCACTATAAGTGATGCTTTTATTTCAATTTCTGTTTTTATTTTAGCCTTTAAAATTTGAAGCTGTTTGTGTTTCATGATATTTGTTTGTTTGTACTATACTATACTATTTATACTAGCAATGTTTAAAAACACATTCCTGAACTTTACGGATATATGCTCTCTGTCGTCCTCAAGGCTTACTGCGTAATTACTGCAACAGTGATTTTTACTGTCGTAAAATCAAATCTCCGTCAAGTATAAGAGGTATGTTTATTGGCTGTTTTCCAACTCGCGTGCCCAAACAAACACATTAAGCAGCGTTTCAGCATTGAATAAAGTTTTATCAGGACTGTTTAACAACTTTATGCCCAACCCAACTCAATAACCCCAGTGAAATAATTTATTACCTATCCATTAGCAGCACGGCAAGGCCAGAGTCCATAGTACATGCTGTTCTTTCAAAAAGAGCTCTCAAGCGTGGAAAAGCTGGCCCTATTAACACGTTCTCTTTTTCTTTTCCTAGATTCTTCTCATAAGGGATTTCCAGCTTTCTTTGGTTGATCTGCCATTGTTCAAGTCTGTAAACTGCGGGTCTACCACATACATATATACGTAGACGCCCCATGTACTGGCACTGCCGCCAACCGCCATTATAGATGGGTCTCCATTCGCTCTCGGTGCATTCATTTCTAAGGAAGGTGCCACCCAACTAAAAAAACTGGTAAAATCTGTATAGTGCAGTAAACAGACGTGGGACCCCATAACACTATCACAGCTCTGAAAATGCCCATAAGAGATGATAGTGATGCTGCCAAAACTTAAAGCAAAAACAAAAAATAATAAAATAAACACATTTTTAAGGTGTAAAAGTTGCAGAATGGGGCTCTAAGTGGTTCAAACAAATCCATTCTATTGAATTTAAGGGTCAAAATATAAAAACCTTAAACTTTAGGAGCACAGATCTATAACCATGTCTCCAAAACCTTCCTGGTATTATAAGAACTCGGTTTATGGTTCTGTAAAAAGACAAAGGTGGTGTTGAGCACAACATTTGTCGCAACCTTTGCTGTTAATTTCCATGTTGGTTGTGAAACAAAACTAATATACAAAATGAGTTATGAAATTTAAACTTTAAAAATGGTTTTATTAATACATGTAGCCCTGTTTGATCTTTACATTTGTCTTTTAATCATTTTTAAGTCTTAATTCTTAACAAACTAGTCTATTCTACAGATCCAGCTGCTGAGCAACAGCTTGAACACGCAGAGGTCAAAGGTGAATGGCATGGCTGAAAACCAGGGGTCAGAGTTCACAAACTAGATCACAAAAACGAGAGATATTCTAAAAATATGTTACAAAAAGTACATAATTATGTTTACCTTTCATTAGAATGTTTATGTACTAAATACTTTAAAGTTAAATGTAATACTGTTCAAATGTCTGTGTGTCACTGTGCAGGTAACAGTTAAAATGTACAAGCGTGGCTCTCACAGCTGGCTGGGTAAATCGCTGAATGCCACCGCCACCATCCCGTCCAACACCATTGTGATGTTCAGGATCAACGGAGAGGAGTTTGACGCCAAAATCCCAGCAAACACCATCCACAGCATCACCCTCAGCATCTGATAGGTGATGATTAATGGGAGACTTCAAGTTTTACAAGAAAAACACAAACGCCTATCAGTTAGTGTGATTTGATGCAACATTACAAATATCACGATCAAGCTTTGAGAGGAAAAAAGCCATTTTTATGATTATTCTTTCCAACAATCTGTTAATGTCCTCGCTAATTAGCCTGATCAATTCAGTCATGTTTTGAATTTCTAGAGCTGGCCCACACTTTAGTTGATCTATTAATGAATCATTAATCCAGCTGATTGTGTTGCATCAATTCAAGCCACGAGTGTTTAATGTGTTAATTGCAGCGGTTAAAATCGGGTGGCCTGTGGAGTGACGAGGATTGCTGCTTCTGTGGGTTTAATGGGAAGTTATTTACAGGCTGTTTAGAGAGTGCAGCCATAAGGTGATTTATTAACAGGCTGCACAGCACAGGCTCAGCTAACAGCTTGCAATTGTATTTAGTGAGCATGGTGGTAGCCAAAATGAAGTTATTTCCATCAGGATATCAGTGCCTTTAGCTAACAAAATAAAAACAGCTCTATCTCTCTATCTTTGGTCTGTTTGTGTGGCTTCTTTACCTGAAACATCACTCCTCACTCCTGTTTACTGTTTTACCTGTTGGATGATTCAAACCTGGCTTTGCAATGATTATTTCGTGCAGAATTTTATTATTAATGATTTTTTTTTTTTTTGCGTGTCAGTTTTGAAGAATTTAGATAACTCGTCGTCGTCGTCTTCCTCCGCTTATCCGGGTCCGGGTCGTGGGGGCAGCATCCCAACTAGGGAGCTCCAGACCATCCTCTCCCCGGCCACCTCCACCAGCTCCTCCGGCAGGACCCCAAGGCGTTCCCGAACCAGATTGGAGATTTAACCTCTCCAACGTGTCCTGGGTCGACCCGGGGGCCTCCTGCCGGCAGGACATGCCCGAAACACCTCCCCAGGGAGGCGTCCAGGGAATTTAGATAACTTAGACAATGTGTAGTTTTTACAATTAATCTATGGAAATATCCATCGAAATGTTGTTGAAAGTTAATTAAATGATGCCCTGTTGAAAAATATTTGCAGCTTTGTGACATATAACCACAAAAATCTTGTCTAAAATACATTGGAGCAGGTCTAAGGGAAAATCCCAATACTTGCACTGCGCCCTGCGGTCTTCAGCGAAGTGCGCTTGGGGGAAGAAGGCTTCGGTGCATGGTACACATTTGTGTACTTGCCAAATCGGGACAGGCAGCATTGCATTATCGACTGCAATACATGCTGGGATGCTGGTCGCCGTGTTACTTAAAAAAAAAAAACCTTAACATCTTTCAAACAAACAATCCAACAATTATTTGAAATAAATTTACATTTAATTGCTTCTTTGTCTAAAACATTGAGAGCATCAGTTAATTGTCTAAAATGAACTACTTTATTTTGAAAATACATGTTTTCAGAAGAGGCACTTGATCCTTTTCTCCCGCAGCAATGGATTGTGGGTAACACCCTTTGCCCAAGTCCACATTGATGCAGACTTGGGTGAAGTGCGGATCAAGGGTGCAAAAGGGGCGTGATCAACTTCCGCACTTGAGAATCGGGACACCCTACGCACTCGAACCCCTGGCCGGGATCACGCAATTGAAGGGCGCAAGTGTGGAAGTGCAAGTGTGGGGATTTGGCTTAAGTCTCTGGGCGACGCCATGTTTCCTTCTACTGTGAGGATCAAACACATTTACTGATTTGTAACAAGTGGTTTCAAAACTTTTACTATTCATAAACATTGTTTTACACATTCACCTCTTCACTTGTTGCCAGTGATGAAAGGGAGTCTGATGTGCTCGTTATTTTGCTGGAGGTTGCGCTCCAAGGGCTTTTTTACCCTAATGGCCATCCGTTGGTAAGGTCTTACTCCAACACAAAGATACTGCTTGCTTGCACTGATTTAGGTATGTGCTGCCCCCATCACCAAATACACATTGTTACTTCAAGTAGGTCACAAGAGCCACAGCATTTAGCAAAAAAATACTTATAGAAATGGGAAGAATTTAAAGGATAAACTTAGATATTTAATAAGCAAGTGTGAGCAAATACATAGTTTTAAATGATTTCTTTTGTTCTTCAGACTTGATGCGCTTTACAGGATGAAGCCACAAAAATCAGAGTAGTTACAGCGTTGATGTGTCATTAAATATCTTTTTGTTTGTTTTAATGTTTGTTGTGCAATAAAGATGTTTGATAATTTACTTGTTTTTGGCTCTTTGTGGTCTTTCTTAGCTACACAATACTCATGAAGTAGGTTCTGTATTTAACAACTAACAGAAAAAATAAACAGCTAAACCTGCTTCTAAAGTCAGAGCTTTTAGCATTGTGTTTAATTGACTTGCAGAGGCGTGTCTGGTGTTTTACACTAGAGGTTGAGTTTCTATACAAACCATACCATAATTTATTTATATAGTACATTTAAAATGCAGCATGGGAGCTGCACAAAGTGCTGCACAGGCTGGACCGAATCGTAACTAATCAAAGCAACAAAAAAACAGGATGAAAATACTGATCAATAAAAGCAAAAACATTAGGAATACTAAGGACACATTAAAACAATAATACAATAAAACAAGTCACTGTCTAAAAGCCAAGTTGTAGAAGTGGGTCTTTAAACGAGATTTAAAAACCTTTCCAATGATGGAGCCTGTCGAACTATAACTGGTAGAGTTCCACAGCTTTGGGGCTGCAGTCCACTCTTTAAGCTTACAGCTGCAATAAAATCACTAATACATGTTTTTTTTTCTTCAGAATGATAAAAAACTTCAATTTGAACCTCCAAAGTCTTCTTTAACTCTAATGGATTCACCTTTTGTCAATCCAAAGGTAGTCTGTTTTATTTTACTCCTTTTGACTGCATTCATACGTTATGTTTGTAGTCATTAATGCATTTTACGCATGGCAGAGTACTTCAGTGATGTCCATAATAAAATATCCCAACCTCTTATTATTTCACCTAGTTTGGATAAAAAAATGCCAAAATAGTAAAGTTGAGAATCGTCCCGTTAGATAATTTGAACTGATTTAACTGTAAATGAAATGCATTTGTTACCAGCTGTAATTAGTATAGTTGTTAACTGCATCCAAAAGCTTAAGATTAGTGAAAGCTGTCCATTAGTGAAACTTATATTCAGCCCTTTGTCACTGCAGGACCAAAATGTTTTCTTTAAAGTCTTATTAAAAGAGATGGAAAGTGGGATATCTATCAACAGCTCCGGCTGCTCTTTGAAAGCATGCAGCATGTCTCCAGTGTGGTAAAAGACTGGAGATTAAGGACGGTTGACTGGCTTCGGGGACAAAGACAACTCTGTTGGGCAGCGTGGCGGTGACTGGAAGGGGAAGCTGAGCGGAAATGGACATGGAGATCAGACTAGAACACAGTGTGACAAGGTAACAAGGTAAACTGATCCTCACTGAATCAATGAGGGTCCTGTCAAAATGGAAACCATATTGAATATCAAGTTTGGGGTATTTTTTTTCAGCAGAATAGGATAATTTTTTCATTTTAAAGTTAATATCAGTGATTTATAAAGTCATCACATGAGGTGAAAATAGTAGAAACCTGCCTCTATTTATGAAATGTGCTAAATAAATAAAGCTGCCTTGCCTTGAAAGATGAACAGGTGCAGCACTCTGGACATCATTTGTAGTTTTTATTACAATTTGCTGAAGTGGAGTTTAGTAAAACTACAAATGTGGAGAAGAATAACAAATGCTATCCAAGAAGATTTGAGCCTTTTATAAAAAATAGTTATGTATGCATACAGTGGTAGGGTCTCTGTAACTGAAGCTGTCAGATTATAGTTAATATGTCCACGTAGAAATAACAAGCATAGATAATGCATTAAACTGCACACTGTAATACTTTTACTTCAGTCAGAATCTGTCTTGAATTTACAACTACTTTTACTTAAGTAACTTTTTTAACCCTCTATCTGTACTTTTACAGATTAAAAAAAGCTTAAAACTTATTTAAAACTGAAATAATTTAAATATAAAGCAGTACAGTATTCTCAGAGCAGTCACAGAAACTTAAAATAGGCAGATATAGTAAATCATATAACAAGTATGGTGGCTGAATTGTAGAGGCAGACAGTAGTTAAGTTGCTGTATTTAACCCATTAAGACCTAATGCAACATATGGGTATACCGATTCCCTTTTATAGAGGACGCCTCAACTCCTAATGGTTTAATACAAAACTCGTGTGTGTGAGAGGGTCAAGAGAGCTCATAAGAATAATGGACCAATGAAACACAGTCAAAAACCTCTGAATGCATTTTCCAACAGGATAAAGAGTAATTGTGGCAAAAATACAACTACAAGCTACATTTTGCAGGCTTTTATGCAGCCACTCAAACACAAGGATGAAAAGAGACGAGCCATCCCTTTTTTAATGTTTTTTTTTTTCATGCTTGCTGGCCTCTGTTCTGTCACTGCCGTACTGAACGGCAGCAAAAGCTCTCAGAGTGTGAAAGCAGCAGGATTCATTAGAGTTAAATGTTTGTTCTCGGAAATGTTCAAAATTAAATGTCATCAAGATGCTAATAAATGTACAGTTGTGTCTTTTAAACATTTCAGTGTGGGAAAAAGTGCCATTGTGATTTTCGGAAAATAATTAAATTAAATTAAATATAGGTGCGTGGGGAGAGGGTCTGCAGAAATTAGCCTGGTTTTAAAACAACACTCGAAGGCAGTGAGTTGTAAAAACCAACAGAACAACAAAAGACACACTGGACTGAAAGAGACTAAGCTTTCTTGCCAATTAGTGCTACGAATGATGGGGCTTTCTGTGCTCCACACAAGCAAGTCTTTTCTCCTCGTTCCCCGGCTATTGAGAGGGATACATTAGCCGGGGAGGGAGAGAGAGATGGATGGGTATTTGGTGGAGAGAGAGAAGTTATAAAGCTCACTTCACGCCTGCTGTTTCAGACCTTTCACTCCCAGTGTTCGCACACGCTGTGATTCTTACCAGGTTGCTCCCGTGTTTTGATTTTTAAAGCTATCGTGAAAATCCAGATGAGGAAAATCCAGTTCAATTTGCCAATTTCCTAAATTTTAGAGCAGGAAGACATAAATGAATACAGCTAATTATTATAGCCAAATCCTCACTGTGGATGAGAACTTGTGTTTTGGGACCACCTAAGTTATTTCTTTATGGTGAGAAGTTTTGATGAACTGTACTCATACTCATAAATCTGAAGTTAATGCTGCAGAGAAAAACATCCATCATGCTATTTTGTTAACATTGTCCTCTGACCTGTTCCACATAATGTTGTGAAATGTGTCAGGGGTCAGATAATCGGGGAGCAATGATGATCAATACATAAATAAGAGAGTGCTGTGTGCAATGCTGTTGGCAGAATAAACCTGCGTCCCGCCACATGTCACAAAACTGAAAAACAAATGGACTTGCTCCAGGCAACAATCATCAATAATAATATGCTACGTGTACGATGATGAATTAGAACCAGACTCCTTAATGCTTTGCCGCGGTGCACACAGAAACACTATTAGAAGAGTGAATTGA